CATTTCTTCCAAAAAGACATAAAATGACCAACCAGTATATGGAAAGATGCTCAATACCATTACTCATCAGGGAAATGCAAAGCAAAATCACTATGAGATATAACCTCACACCCGATAGGATGGCTATTATCAAAAAGTCAAAATATAACAAATGTTGCAGAGGGTATGGAGAAAATGGAACCCTGTACATTGTTGGTAGGAATGTATTACTAGATTGGTGCAACCACTGTGGAAAACAGTATGGAGGTTCCTAAAGAAATTTAAAATAGAACTATTATATCATACGATCCAGCAACCCCTCTTCTGGGTGTCTACCCAAAGGAAATGAAATCAGCACCTGTAAAGAAATATGCACTCCTATGTTCATTGCAGCATTATTCACAACAGCCAAGATATGAAAACAACTATACAGACACACACACACTCACTAGAATACTATTTAGCCTTAAAAAAGAAGGAAATCTTGCCATTTGCCATAACATGGATGAACCTAAAGGACATTATACTAAGCAAAATGAGCCAGGCACAGAAAGAAAAATATTGCGTGATCTCACTTAAATGTGGAAACTCAAAACAAAACTAAAAGGTCAAGTACTGTACACAAATATTGAGAATAAAACATGGTTACCCGGAGTACAGGTAGGGGGAGGTTATGGGGACACGTAGAGCAGAGAATTCAAAGCAGCAGATACGTAGTGTAAACAAGTCCAGAGATCTAATGTACAACATGAGGACTACAGGTCATACAATTGTACTGTATTTGGGATTCCTGCCGAATGAGTAGACTTTAATTGCTTTTGCCACAAAAACAAAACAAAAATAAATTGGATAACTATGTGAGATGATGGATATGTTAATTTGCTTCACTGTAGTAACCATTTTATCATCTATAAGTATCTTAAAACATCATGTTATATACATTAAATATACACAATACAATTTATTTTTTAAAAAATTAGAAGTTTTGGTATGGAAGTCAGAAAGACTATTTTCTGTGAAGGGAGATTTATACTAACACATAAAAGTAGGGAGGAAGGAAATGGAAAGAAAGAGAGCAAGGAAAATTTGATAAAGTGTTTTTTTTTTCTATTAAGGAACAAAACCCAGGATCTCTTAAATAGATGAATTTCAATGAATGACATTAAATTAAATTGACAGTAAAGGCAAAAATGGAAGGAAAAGAAGGCTGCCACACAGTAGTATGTAAATGTCAAATGGAAGATCACCACTGTTATGGACATAATACCGCAAGGTCAGATGTCACCATATCCTCTGCCAGGAGGACTGTACCTACATCTCTATGTACAGTGTCTTGCTTTCCTTAGTGCTAACCTAGCTGTAGAATTCTACATGTCTTCTATTTTACTTATGCATCGAAACACTAGTGAACAATGAGTTTTTGCTGAAGAATTTATGGAGAAGATGAAAAGAGAGTTTAAATCACCTCCCCTTAAACAAACTATACTTAAAACACTTAAAATCTACTCTTTTAGCAATTTTCAAGAATACAATACATTGTTATTATAACAACTGTAGTCACTATACAATAGATCTCTTGAATTTACTCCTCCTATCTAACTGAAACTTTGTATCCTTGGACCAATATCTCCCCAACCCCTCAACCCTGCACCTCCCCTCTCCCCCAAGCCCGTGGTAACCCCGGGCTCTCTACTTCTATGAGGTCAATTTTTTTATGCTCCACATATAAGTGAGATCACGTGGTGCTTGTCTTTCTTTGCCTGGCTTATTGCACTTAACATAATGTCCTCCAGGTTTGTCCATGTTGTTGTAAATGACAGGATTTCCCACCTTTTTAGTACTCCATTGTGTATATGTATCACGTTTTCTTTACCCATTCCTCGGTTAATGAATCAACTCAGGCTGATTCTATCTTGGCTATTGTGAATAGTGATGCAATAAACATGGGGGTGCAGATATCTCTTTGATATTCTGATTTCATTTCCTTCAGATAAATATCCAGCAGTGGGATTGGTAGATTGTATGGCAGTTTTATTTTTAATTTTTTGAGGAACTTCCATACTGTTTTCCGTAATGGCTGTTCTAGTTTATGTTAATGTAAATTAGGGATGTAAATTAGAAACTTTGTAATTCCTATTCATGTTTGTATCCCCAATGTCTGGCACCCAGAAGTCAGTGAATCTTTAGTTACAGAATGAATGATTGAGGAGAAGGAATTTGGTGTCTTTTTATTGTTATACTTTTGGGATCTCACTCTCAATATCCAGTGGCTTATTAAAGCATTTCTTTCAAATTCCCATGATATTTTACCTCCTAAGAGAAGTTCTGGTAAATGCAATTTAACCTTAAATGAGAAAAGTAAAGTGTGGGCCAGGATGATGTGGAAGGGACAGGTTTTAAGGGAAGATTAGGAGCCTACACTAACAATTGTGAAATGATTTAAGCTTGCAGTTTTAAGTACCTTGGCAATTGTCACAGCCACCAGATGAGTTAATCTTATCTCTTATTTCAACTATTTCAACAGCCTTTTAGCTTGTCTTCCCACCATTAGTTTTTTTCTACTCCCTTTCACCCTACACATCACTTCCTCAGAGATAACCCATTAAAAAAAAAGATTGCATTGCCAGCTAGCTTGAAGACTTTGGCGGGCTCCTCATTGTTTATAGAATTAAATAAAAACCTTTTAGCATGGTATCAAACACCCCATGTAGCTGGTTTTCAAACCTTAGTGAAGAGGACATTGTTTTAAACTCTTCTTTCTTCCAGGTCTCTCCCCTTCTCACTGTTCTGTGTAGTGTTTACAGTGTTTTTCTTCACAGCACATGTTTTCAGTGCTATTGTGTAAATTGTCTTTGAGTGTTTTGGTGAAGGGATAAGTGCAAACAAATGAAATCTTCATAATGACTGTTGCGTCTCTTTATTTAGGCTCTCCAGTTGGGACAGGCACTGGCTAGCCATTCATTAAAGCGGTAATAACATTTTTGTACTGGTCATGAACCATTTTAACATGCTTAAGGTGCCAACCAAGTACTCTCCCAGGAATCTCTCCTGTCATATCTGAAATACTTCTGTCACCTGTGGTTAATGTGTGTTTAAACCCTGCTTACTATGTTCTTTTAAACAAGTGGTTGTATTTCTCACCCTTTGATTTGCAGACATAGTGACATGATGACAAGTTACAACTCCCAGAGAAGTACAAGAGCAAATAGAAGAAAAATATATGAAGGAAAGGGAATGAGAGAAACAGATCAGAGGATTTTCAAAGGTCATTTGATTCAAGATTGTCTAGTCTAAACTTCTACCTGGGGCAGGAGTTTCCCCTTCGATACATCTGCCAGGTGTGTTCCAGATTTTTCTTGATTACTTTAAGGGCTAGGAAGACAGCCTAGTCTTCACTGTATAATAATTAATAATATTTCTTTCACTGTATTGATGTTGTTGTTATCTTGGCCACTTCCTCCACACCCAAAGTGTCCTTTCTCATCCTGAGCTGAAATCTTGCTCTTATAGAAGAGTTCCATCCACATAGAACTTGATCTTTTTATTTCCCTCTGATACCCCCAAGCAAAGGTCTAATTCCTCTCCTGAGTGACATCTACAGTTCCTAAAAGAGAGCTGTCATGCCCATCTCTGCCTCTCTGGTCCATAGGGTCTCCTCAGTTGAACATCCTGTGCCATCCATCATTCCTCACAAAACCTGAATTCCACAAGCTTCATTGCCCTAAATTGCTTCCTTTGAATTTCTCTAGCTTGTCAATCATCTCTTTAAAATATGGTGACCATAGTAACAAAAATATAAATAAAAACAAGAGGCCTTTTTAAATTATCAAATTGGCAAATGTTTTAAAAAATTAATTTTCAGAGCTTGGGAGAGTGAGATGAGATATTAACAGAACAAATTTGTTCAACATTTCTTGAAAGTAATTTGTGTTTCAAGAGCATTAAAAATATCATTACTATTTGACCCCATAAACTTCTTTATAGGAATCCATCCTTAAGAAATAATAGTTATGAGATCAAAGATTTTTGTGTAATGATTTTTTTTACAATATCATTTTATTTAAAAACACTATTTTTAAAACAGCTTTATTAAGGTATAATTGGCATAAAAGAAACTGCATACATATTTAAAGTGTATAATATAATAATTTTATTTTTATTGTGTTTAAATATACATAAAATTTACCAACTTGGTAAATTTTGACATATCTATATGCTTGTGCCCCTTTGCAAACCCTCCCTTTTTCTCCTCCCTCCCACCCTGCTCCAGACAACCACTGATCTACTCTGTCACTGTAGATTACTTTGCGTTGTCTAGAAATGTGAATAAATGGAATCATACAGAATGTATTTGGTTTTGGTCTTCTTTTACTCTACCAATTTATTTTTATATTCATCCAAGTTGATTATTGCTGAGTAATATTCCACTGCATGCATGTACCACAGTCTGTATATCTATTCACCTGTTAATGACTAGGCTTTTTCAGGTTTTGGCTGTTACAAATAAAGTTGCTATATACATCTGTATACCAGTCTTTATGTGGACTTAAGCTTTTTTGGGGGGGGGGGATAGAATGTCTAGGTCATAGGGTAAGTGCATATTTTTTTTTTTAAACAAGAATTTATTTAAACAACAAGACACTTGACTTGAAGGGAAAACTATCTAGGATTCATTTTCTTTTTAGAGTAATTTATCCCTACTTAAAGACAGATTACCCTACATGTAACAGCTACATACAAAAAAGTTATAAAATTGTCCTTGTTTTTACAATGATAAATGAAAAACATTAAAATTCTCCAATTGAACAAGGTATGCAAGGATTTTTATGTTGTTGTTTTTTGTTAAAACAATGAGAGCAAAATAACTTACTGGAATATAAAGATAAGAGCTGAATGAGCATGCCACTAATGGAGAAAGGGGGTATTTTCACAGAACCAGTATTTTTCCCCATCCCATCTCCACTTGATGTCAATCAAAACATACCATTGGCCATTTAGTTAAAAAAAATGCAATATGCTTGTGCACATACACCAGTTACTTTATGTACAATAAAGGAATGGGGAAGGGGAAAATGAAAGAATAGAGAAAACTATACTGTAGTAGTCAGGATGTGGTGGAACCAAATTGCAGTTTTCTAATTGAGAATGTAATCTTGGTCTGTAACAACAGAGTTCTGGAGTATAGTAGCAGGTTCCCTTTTTAGTAGACACCTCCTGTCTGCTGTTGGAACACATCAATTGTATCTTCGTCCTCCATTTCCAACTGTGCAGGTGTATCTGTTTCATTGATTGGCTGCCCATCAAATCGGAATCTGATCTGCCTCATTGAAAAACCCTGTCGTTCACAATAAGCTTTCATTAGTTTACTAAGTGGTGTATGCCTCTTAATCTTAAACTGCACCACAGAGCCATCCTGTCCTGCCACCTTCAAATTAATGTGATCGTTGTTCTCAGTCTTGACTCCTTCCTTAGGCTTTTCGTCGGCCAGGGCGAGCGCCGGAGTCTCCTCAGCTGCCGCTTCACAAAAGAGGTACCAGGTCCGCACCGAACGAGCACACAAGCACCACCAGGAGCGGCAGAAGAAGGTAAGTGCATATTTTATGTTTAACTTTCTAAGATACTTTCAAACTATTTTCCAAAGTGGTTGTACTATTTTGCATTCCCACCAGCAGTGTATGAGAATCCTAGTTGTTTTACATCTTCACCAGCACTTGATGTGGCCAGTCTTTTAAATTTTAGCCATTCTACTCGGTATGTAGTGGTCTCTGTGATTTTAATGCCCTATTTCCCAAATGAGTAATTATATTTGACATATTTTCTGGTTCTTATTTGCTATCATTATACCTTTGTTCATGAATTCTCTGCTCAAATATTTTATCTATTAAAAAAGCTAGGTATTTAATACCTTGTTTTCAAAAAATTATTATTGATTTTTAAGAGTGCTAACATATGTGTGTATATATAAATGTATATATACATCAATATGTCAGTTATATATTCTGAAAACAAGTCCTTCTCGATATGTGAAGTGCAAATATTTTCTCCCAGTACATGTCCTGTATTTTCATTCTTTTTTTTTTTTTTTTGAGAGAGTCTTGCTCTGTTCCAAGATGGAGTGGAGTGACATCATTGGAGTTCACTGTTACAGCCTCCAAGTCCCAGGATCTTCTCGCCTCAGACTCCTGAGTAGCTAGGATTATAGGCACATGTCATCACACCTGGCTAATTTTTAAACAATTTTTTGAAGAAATGGGGTCTCACTGGGTTGCCTGGTCTGGTCACAAATTCCTTGCATCAAGTGATCCTCCTGCCTTAGCCTCCCAAAGTGCTGGGAGTGGCATGAGCCACTGCATCTAGCCTTCATTCTTTTAATAGTGCTTTTTTAAGAGAAGAAGTTCTTAATGTTGGTGAAGTCCAACTATATTAGTCGGTTTTCTGTTTCTTTTAACAGAATATCTGAAACTGGGTAATTGATAAAGAAAAGGAATTTATTTCTTACAGTTGTGGAAACTGAGAAGTCTAAGGTCAAAAGTCTGCAGCTGGTGAGGGTTTCTTGCTGATGGGGACTCTCTGCACAATACTGAGTTGGTACAGAGTATCACATGGTGAGTAGGCTGAGCGTGCTAGTGTGTTAGCTCAGGTCTTTTTTCCTCTTCTTAGGAAACCACCAGTATCTCTCCCATGATAATCCATTAACGCATGAATGTATTTATCCGTTTAGGAGGGTAGAGCCCTTATGATCCAATCACTTTTCAATACTGCCACATTAGGGCAGTTTAAGTTTCAACACAAGTTTTAGAGGGGACATTTAAACCATAACACCAACTTATCATTTTTTTAAATTTATAGATTGTTCTTTTAGAGCAGGCATCCTCAAACTACGGCCCACGGGCCATATAGGGGTGTTTTGCCCGTTTGGTTTTTTACTTCAAAATAAGATATGTGCAGTGTGCGTAGGAATTTGTTCATAGATTTTTTTAAAACTATAGTCCGGCCCTCAAACAGTCTGAGGGACGGTGAACTGGCCCCCTGTTTAAAAAGTTTGAGGACCCTTGTTTTAGAGTATTTAAGAATCTTTGCCTAACTCAAGGTTACAAAAGATTTTTTTCTTTGTATTCCAGAAGTGTTATAGATTTAGATTTTACATTTAGATCTATGATCAATTTTGAGTTATTTTTTTTTTGGTATGTGTTTGAAAGTATGGACAGAGGTGCAGTTAAAGAACATATTTTTTTGCACATGGATACTCAATTGTCTCAACAATTTTTTCAATACTCTGTCCTTTCTCCATTGAATGTTCTTTGCACTTTTATTGAAGATCGATTGAGCATATATACATGTGAATTTATTTCTTGACTTTCTATTCTATTCCATTGATATATTCCATTATTTTATTTTGAAACATCATTTCCCCCCCAAAATATAACATAGAACATGTTGATTATTGAAAATTTGAGAAGACAAACAAGAAGCAGCCAAAAACCAACCAAAATCCAACTACCTAGGCACAAGTGTGGTTAATATTTTGGCAATGTTTTTCCAGTCTTTTTGTTTTTCTAGATATCTTTTTCATATTTATTTTTGGAAGCAACCTTAAATCTCTTAAAAATTGTATAGTAATATGTCATATCTCCAATCTTCCTCTTTCCCTTCCTTGCATATTTCCTTCCTTCCCTCCTTCCCTCCCTCCTTCCCTCCTCTCATTAATAGGTAATAATAATTCAGTCAAATATTCATTAGATAACATTTCTCCTCCTCTTTTCTCATTTCTCCTTTTCTCTTCCTTTTTCTCCTCTTCCCTTTTTCCTCCTTTCTTCAGAGCTGAAGGTTAGACCAATTGTAGTTGTTTTGCATGCATGCATGGGTGTGTGTAGGTATGTATGTGTGCGTACTTGTCTGCATGTCTTAGGGCTAAGGATCCAACTGAGTGCAATTGGAAGACTGATAACATTCAGAAGGATTGAGTCAATAAGCAAATATGTTGAGGTTAATGAGAGCCAGGTTTCTCATTGTCAGGGAAAGCCATTTACGTATACAGAAAATGTATGTGTGTGTGTGTGAAAGAGAGAGAGAGAGAGAGAGAGAGAGAGAGAGGATGTTGAATATGCTCTTTGATTTTGAATTGAAAACTGAAAAATTTAAATATATACAAATAGATATAATAAATGCATATGTGTATACATATATAAAAATTTCTTTTTATGTATAATCTATATATAATTTGTACATTGCTATGTCTTTGAACTATTTGAGAGTAAGTTACAGACATAATGCCCTATCACAACTCGACAGTTGAGTGTGTATTTCCTAAAAAATATGACACTTTTCCTACATAACCATAGTATAACAATCAAGATCAGGAAATTAATGTTGATTAAATATTATATACACTCTGTCCACTAAGAGGGCCTAGAAGCCATGGTATCTCAATAACAATGAACACACCTACCTTCTACATCTTGGTTTCTAAGTATCATTTTCTACTAAAAGGAATCAGGGATACTTGGAGGGATGTCTGACTCCAGGGATTAGGCAGGAAAAATATCATTTAGCCTGGAAATCTTCTTGTAACAGAAAGTAAGGAAGATGTCCAAAGAATGATGGATACATGTCAAAAGGACACATAAGTCCAGTTGAAGGGACTCTTATTTGCCAAGTATGGGACAATTTCTTTATCTCTCCCCCCCCCACACAAAGTTTGGGACAATTTGAGAATCAAAAAAAATAATTTCAAAATGTTACTTGTTAAAAAATAGGAATTTAGAATCTATACAGATAATAAATAAGAGGGAGGAGGAAAAGATTATCCTATAATAGAATGACAATTAACAAAAGTAGACATAGTTTCAACACACAAAATACTTATTAATTACTTAAGTAAGAAGTATAGAACATTTATAATTAACTTTACAGTAGAAAACCTGCCAGACATCATCTTACCAAGGAATAAAAATTAGCACCAACAGTAATGGAACAAATCAGCATCATATGCCTCCTGATATGATGCCCTGAGAAGAGCACAGCATCACTTCTGTGGTATTGCTGTCCCAAACACACAAGTCGCAAGGAAATATCAGGCAAACCACAGTTGAGAGATGTTTTACAAAGTGACTGGCCTGGCCTCTTCAAAAAAGATCTAGGTCATGGAAGACAGGGAAAGTCTGAAGAACTCTTTCAGATTGAAGAAGATCAAAAACATGAAAAGGTCACACATAATCTTGTATTGGATCCTGACCTATAAAATTTATTATTGGAACAATCCCTGAAATTTGAATGGAGTATTTAGATTATATGGTACCATTGTCATGTTAATTTTCTGATCTTGATGGCTTTATTGAGACTATGCAAAAGACTATATTCGGTTTTAGGAAATACACACTGAAGTATCAATGGAAACAGAACATCTGTAGATACTCTGTTTAGCTTTAATTATTGATTTCTGGATTCATTCCATTGTGTTCAGAAAACATATTCTGTATAATTTCAAATTCTTTGTAATTTGTTGAAATTTATTTCATGGTCTAACATTTGGTCAACTTTTGTAAATGCTTCATGTATATTTGAAAAAAATGTATTCTCCAGTTGTTTGGTATAGTCCCATGTTCTATATGTTCTATAGTGCCTATTAGGTAATTTGTTAATTGCACATTTAAATTTTCTACACTTTTAGAATATTTTTGCCTATTTATTTTATCTGCAACTGAGAGAGGTTATTGAAATGTGCCACTATGATTGTAGATTTGTCTATATATCCTTGTATTTCTGCCAATTTTTGATTTATATAGTTTGAGGCTCTGTTATTAGGTGTGTATAACTTTAGAATTGTTATATCTTCCTGGTGCATTGAACATTTTAAAGCTATGAAATATCTGTATTTCTACTAATATTTTTGAAATTAAGGCCTATTTTATTTGGTATTAATTTAAGTATGTTAGCTTTATTTTTAGTTCATATGATTCATATTTATTTTTTCATTCTTTTACACACAATCTTTCCTTTTCCCTATATTTTAGGTGCTTTTTTTTATAAATAGCATATAGTTGCATATACATTTGTGTGGATGTGTGTGTTTTGTCTACTCTGATAATTTGTCATTTTTGACGTGTTTGGTTTATTTGCATTTAGTGTAATTACTGATACATTGCTGCTTAAATTTATTATATTACTATTTGCTTTGCCTATTCTGTTCCCCTTTCTCTCTTTCATTGACTTATTTTAAATGTAGTATTTTCTCCTATACCATTTCCTTCTTTAATTAGCTTGGTAGTTCCCCGCTGACACTTCTGGTGCCTTGTGTCACCTCTTATCCCACTTCAGATTTCTGCTGCAACTCTAGTAGACAGATCCTTATGAGCACAGCTGTACCTCAAGTGAACAGCATCTTACCTCAAGCACTCAATGTGTATTTTTCACTTTTGGCCCCAGGGAATTCTCTGATGACAAAAGGGAGCAAGTGCAGTCCCAAAAAGCAGGGAATAAGTCCATTCTGATGAGGTTTAGCTGGAAATGAGAAATAAGGAATGAAATTGGAGTAAAGGTCACCCTCATTAGACAATTGCAAAGAACTTGGCAGAATTGTATCTGTGTCCTAAGACTTTGTGGAATAAA